TTTTTCCCGATGGATTTTGGAGACAAATTAATTAGGAGAATCTTGGCAGTCCAAGAGTGTGCTGAGGGAGATATTTTTGTTTTCGAGTCACTCTGTCTAGCAGCCCAATGTGGGACTGGTTGAGCAAGGCCAATTGTCTCATTGGCCAATAGCCTGGACCCATCCTGAATGCAAAACGCTTCAATCTGGTCCACTCACTATGCGGACTGGACCTTCGCGACACAGTGATTCCGCATACGCAATCATCCCTAATAATAGAACTATTTTTAAAATATTTGCTTTAAAAATGTACACGATGCAGTTATAAGTTAGCCTAAACTAAAATTAAAAATTTTATTACCTCGTCTACATTTTTGACTGCAGAAAACATACTCAAATAAAAAATAGTTTGCAAAAATTATTTTGGTGTATAGTACATTTTCAGACCGAACTGATTTTTGGTTAGGGTAACTAGTTTATGGAAAATTTTGTATTTACCTGAAGGGTTGGCTGCCACCCCTTTCAGAAAATGTGACAATTTAATATTTTTATTGGGTTTTCTTGTAGAAAGTGGCAAGTTCAAACAAAAATATTTTGGGAAGTTTAAGTTCTGATATTTGTTCAAGATCAGTATTTGTATAATCCAAATCACAAAATCGTAGATTACGGCTAAGTAGTACACCGTAGACTAGAATACACCTTTCTTGCAACTATATATAACTATTCCATGAGTTGCCAAATGGTTAATTGGCCTAGACTATTAATTCTCACGTAACGAACTGATTCACGGATATTGAAACAAAAGCTAGTAGTTAGTAGGCCTACACACATCAATGGTTACAAAGAGTGGATGTATGATTTTGATGAGAAGGCAACATGTAACACCTGATCAAAAATATGTGAACCTTTACAACAATGAAAGTAAGGACAATCCTCACTACAACAATGGCTAAATAAAAAAAAATTGAAGCACATTATTGCCACACAAGTCTATAAATAAAGTAAAAAACACACCGGTAAAATATTTTATAACATGTTTCCTTGTTATTTCACACATGTCTTCATTATGTGGGACAACATAAGAAGATAATCCTAGGCAAAACACTTTCCGACACCGAAAGCAATCTTATCACACTACAAGTTTATTTAGTTTTACATAATTTCAACTTCTTATCTCGAGAAAACTATGTTACAATGTCAGGTTTGTACAAAGGCGTTGTCATAATATCAATGAAAGAAAGAAAGACAAAACTACTAAAAACGCCAGACCTTTAAGTATACTCTGAGTAATATAAGTACTATAAGTATTGTATCTACAAAAAAAGGTTTCAGTCTGTCTTTTCGTAATTCAAAATTAGACCAAATAAACTTAAAATTCACACAAAACTAGTTACTTCACCGAGTAAACCCTAAATGAGTGTGTAAAACGGATTTTGAGGAAAGCAACCAAAGAACATGCAAAAATACCTATATTTTTCTTGTCATGGAGACCAATCAGTATTATTTTCAAAGGCAGAAATGCTCCACCTCATAACTTTGAAGGCAATATGGCATCGAAACGGGACTACAAACATGTTTAGTAGGTGTTTGCTATGTGTGCAGACACACAATGATAAATAGAGATGGATTTAGTACAGTACAACTTTAGGATAACATAACGACATTGGAGAAAATTGTTCTGGAAATGATCAGTGCTTTTGAACGTTACACTGGATTCTCACTCCACAATCGTAGCTAAACTAACAATACTATGAACTGCGAGAAAAGATCCGCTTCTTAGAGATAACTTGTTTAATCAAAACAAACACGATTGCTGATTTCACTTCCGAAGTCACCAAACGATAACAATACAAACAGAGTAGTGATAACGTCGCGGTCCGTTAAATGCTCAGACGACCGCTCCCGACAGTACGAGATTCAAAACGGATTTCGTGAATTTTCTTGATCCTTGCTATAAAAAAATTGTAATATCGTTTTTCAAAAAGGAATGGTGCAAAAGTATACATGCTGATTTCCTGTTTGTCTTGAAACAGCTGTCAATCCCAACAATGAAAATAGCATGTTTATAAGTTTGTTTTATTGGTAATAAACTGACTTGTTTATAAAATGGCTACTAAAAAGTATAAAAGGCGTTTTGTAAGTCAGTTTGTGCGAATCGGAGCCGTTGTAACTGTTTAACAAAACGTCCGACAAAAAAACAGTACGGATCCTTCTCGTTTAACTGCATAATATTAGATGAGGAGAAAATAAAGTATATCACTGCCAAGTAGCCAATACAAAACATAAAAAAAAACTAGCAATAACACCTAGGCTTATACACATGTTCTTTCCATTGTTTGAATTTTAGCTGTTACCATTTTAATTTTGATTGCATGTATGGTCTAGTGGAAATTTAAGTGCCCAATTGAAATATATTACGGTATGAACATTTTGTATATATGTTACAGTTGTATATGCCTACAGTATATGCGTTAATATAATATCTAGGTTCTATACTCCTTTTATCTATGGTGCTGTTCTAGTTAAGTGGTGTTAAAATATTGCACTTTCCTGACTTGCAATCGTTGTTTATCCAACATTCAACCTGTTCAACAGTCCTATTTTTTATCGTATTTCCTTGTGGTAGAAAACCTTTTACAATTAGCTTTATTAACCAAGACAGCAATTCCGAGGATGGGTGTTTTAGAATCCTCCTAAAGTTAGATTTACACTGTATTATAATGTTTTAGATTGGGTAGGGCCAAACTGCTACTTCTGGGCATAGAGCTCAACCGGCTGCAACGTACTCTATTTACAGTGGTTGAAACCATAAATAAATAATTACATACAATTACCCCTTATCACATACATTAAAATTGCTTCATCCACAAGTAATAATCTACTATTTTGTATAGTTCTTAGCAGCCATAACCACACCCAAAACATTTTGTTTGTCTATTTGGGTAGCCTATTTTCCATATTCTAAGTTTCAGCCAATGTTATCTATATACAGGGTGTTTTTTTAAAAACTTGCATCTTTATTTATGTAAAAACCGCAATAGATAGAAATATGCAGTTTGCGGGAATCATCTATTGAAGTAGGGGGCCCAATTGTTTTGAATTCAACGTTACATTCACATTCCCCCCCTTTCCCCCCCTGCCCCCAACTTATTTTTTTTAAATAGCAAGGTACCGCTTGTGACATATCAAATGAAAGAGCATAAAAAAAGAAAATGTTTGATGAAAAAAAAATTAAAAATCGGTTCATAAATTTGCAAGATATTTCCCCCCCCCCCCTTCCACGGAACTTGATTTTTTTTTAAAGCAAAGTACCCCTTGTGACATATCAAATGAAAGAGCATGAAAAAAGAAAATTTTTGGTGAAATTTATTTTTCATTTGATATGTCACAAGGGCGGGTACCTTGCTATTAAAAAACAAGTTATGGGTAGGGGAAAAAGGGGGGGATTATCTCACAAATTCATGAGCCGATTTTAAATTTTTTTCCACCAAAAATTTTCTTTTTTCATGCTCTTTTATTTGACATGTCACAAGGGGTACTTTGCTATTAAAAAAATAATCAAGTTCCGGGGAAGGGGGGGGAAATATCTCGCAAATTTATAAACCGATTTTTAATTTTTTTTCATCAAACATTTTCTTTTTTCATGCTCTTTCATTCGATATGTCACAAGGGGTACCTTGCTATTTAAAAAAAATAAGTTGGGGGCAGGGGGGAAAGGGGGGGAATGTGAATGTAACGTTGAATTCAAAACAATTGGGCCCCCTACTTCAATAGATGATTCCCGCAAACTGCATATTTCTATCTATTGCGGTTTTTACATAAATAAAGATGCAAGTTTTTAAAAAAACACCCTAAAAGGCAAAGCCCTCACTGACTCGACTGACTCACTCATCACTAATTCTCCCACTTCCCATTTACCTAGGAGGCTGAAATTTGGTACACTGATTCTTTAGGCATTAAATAGGAAAACTAAGTTGTTTTTATTCTGATCAGACTCTCGGGCTCCGCCCCAGTGGCTCTGGAGTTTCTCATGTTAACCTTATGAGTACTCATATTTAAATGGAATTAATGAATCTTGACAGCTGTTTCAATTAAACAAGTTGGTTCTGTTCTATGATGTTCAATAGCATTAAAGTTACAAGGATTACAAACAGGGTGCAGCAGTATTATTTTTTTTTATGACAACAGCTAATTTGCAACCAAAAGGTGAATGAGCGTAGCGAATGAACTTCAACCTGGAGGCGAGTTAGCATAGCCAACGAGCTAACCTGAAGGCAAGTGAGCGCAGCGAACGAGCTCCAACCTGAAGGTGAGTGAGCATAGCGAACGAACTTCAACCAGGACGTGATTTAGCCATGCGAACGAGCTCACCTATGAAGTAAAACGGGGCAAAGCCCGCAGGTACAGCTAGTAGTGTTTATTTCATAGTCTATGAGTTACTGTTGCCTAAAAGTTTTCAACTAAATGTCTAATTTAGTTGTAAGGGATTACGAGCCTGCGAAAAATCGATGTCCTAACTACCTCCACAAAATATTTAAAGGACTATTTAAACCCAATATTCGATATGAAAGAAAGTATTTATTATTTATGTAAGTAAATAAAGAGAGGTTTTAAGATCGTTGTGATGTAAAGCTTTAATGTCAACTACAATCACCTATTTCTTAATCAGGACCATTTATTACTAAACTAATGATCAAATTTTGAGGGCACCTGGGTCAGGTTTCGAACAATCAAAAGGCTACACTTTTGAACCACCGATCTTCTGGTATACCTTTACTCCAAACCCTCATCTTCTCCAGCTAAACTCATACAAGATCAACACAGCCTCACGCTCTACCTTGTTACGAACTTATTACAAGGAGTTCTTCCATGCCCAACGATTAAGGGAACCTCGGTTGACTGCAGAGCAATCCAACTACTTACTAACGAGTTTTCTCATCATTGAACTGGTTAGGCAAGCAATTACACTGGCCATAGCTATTTCAGCTAAAATAATGCAATAATCCAATCCCAGACCTTACCTTCTCCAGGAACCTGGCCTCGTGGAGTTCCTCCAAGGTCGGCCGACAAGCGTGCTTCCCCTGGATGATGTCCCGGTAGTGCTCCGCCCTCGGCAGCGCCTCCCGGGTCATCTGGGCGAAGCTACGGGAGTTGCGGGTGTCGTAGACGTAGCTGTTGTGTTCCATGGTGGGCGTCAGGCGGGTCACTTCCCCTCTGTCTCTGGAGGGTGCCAACTCGCTGATGGACACCCTCGCCACCTGAGGACAGAGGAGATTCAGAGGACTGCTAGAGAGTCAGGGATGGAAGAGATGGAAGGGTGAAAAAGGGAAGTTTTGTAATAGAGGAGTAAAATACTGGACACTATACTGGGTAGAAAGAATGAGAAAAAAGGTTTTGAAATGGTGATGAAAAAGACGTGGAGGTGAGGTAAAGAGTAGGGCTTAGAATGTAAGAGAAGCGTGATATGTGGAAAAAGTAGATGTTGTGGAAGTTCTTGAAAGGGTTGATGAAAAAGATTTTGAGAAGAAGTCACGCCGAAGAGATGTTGAGATTCTTTAGTTTGAAGTATAATGTGAGAAAAGAGTGATGGGAGAAAAGAATTAGGTGTTGCGAAATGTTTTGAAAGGGTCGGTGAAAAAGACATGGAAGAGTACAACTGGAGTCAAAATTCACTTGTTCATTAATTAGCTTATTTCTATTTGGGGAAAATTTTGAAGAGGTCACGCTGAAGATATTTTGAGATTCTTTAGTCTTAAGTAGAATATGAGAAAAGAGTGATGGGGTTAAATAATTAAATATTGTGGGATCTTTTGAAAGGGTTGATGGAAAAGACATGGGGAAAAGCCACGGTGTGGAGATTTTTGTATCTTTGAGTTTGGAGTAGAATGGAGAACACGAGTGATTTGGGAAAAAATCAAGTGAGATTGCATGACATGCTTGGAAAAAGACGTGGAGATAATTTGTAAAAAGTATAAAAACACGCATTAATGAGGAAAGTAAAATGAATAGATATGGTAGGAGGGATAGGGGAAACGAATTGATGAAACAGGGGTGTATATTCTATGTATGTGATGTATGAGTTGTTGAATTGAACAGTGGTAGGAAAAGAGTAAGAGTTGTAGAATAATACTTTTAATAGTTTACCAAGAGCCTGCGTCCCTTCGTGACTTCAAAAACCGTGATATATTTGATATATAGTTGATAAGGGTCAAAACTATTATTTCTCATCATAGCCCTATTATTTTCATTGTGTGCCTCTTCGAGGGATCGTAGTAAAATTAAAAAAAAACTAATGAAACATGCTATGAAAACACAAAATCTCTTCTTTACATTTTATATAAATAGCATTAAAATATTTTACTTTTCACTGAAACATCACCAACCACAGATAACCCCATTTTCGTATGGATGTATACAAAATTGTATTATGCCCATCTGTTTTGATGTAAAAAAATGTAAACTTGAAACAGTTCAGATGATTGACTTGCTGCACACAAAATTCCAACAAATTCTTTAATACTATAGATTCTGAAAAGGTTACCATACGAATTTAGGCATTTTGAATGGAGATGAGTGTAGGATATTTTATAGAGAATAAGAAATATAATTAAAAACTTGGAGCTAAATAGTAATTTATGGAAATGAGGCAAGATGAGTAGTAGGCCCCACACAATTCTCGGTGGTTAAAGAAGAAGGTTATGTTATTATGCAACTAGTGGGCAAATTGTCACATTTTTGGACGAGAGGAAAATGTCGAAGCACGGGGCTTGTCGGGTTCAATCTAATCGAATTGAAAAGCCATTTTTCATCAGAACCACAAATAATATTTATGTCTATTCTGTTTCTATGATATTATAGTTTTTATTACATTGTGACAACTACAAAAGATTACTTCATTAGAAACACAATTTATTAAACGGAAATTTAATTTAATGTGATAATGCCCAAACAAACAACCGAAAACTGTTTCAACTAAATATATTTCAAATAAACTACTACACTTTCTCAATTCTGAATTTCATATTTTTTTAAACTTGGAACTACAAATTATACGATTTTAAAAATAATTCAAACTGTATCAGATTGAAATAATAATTTGTTATGATTTTTTTAGCCCCGGGAAATATTTCTAGACTTTATTCAGTAGTTAATCGGATGATCAGAACCAATAAAAATAAATTGAGCGTGGGTTTTGGATTAAATCCAGCAGTTTGGTTACTGGGTTTAAAATTAGTGGTAATGGCAAGGAAACATTGTATGCTCTTAAACTGTTACTAATCATACACACAAGACAATACCCTTTTCAATCCATGTTTGGTTATTTTCTAATTTTTTACACGCTTATGAAAATGTTTAGTTGTACATGATTTTAGTATTGCTTTGTAACCTTAATTTTTTAGTCTGATTAGTTGGATATATAGTTTGGTATTTTAGACTTTCGTTATGCAGCTGTTTCAGACATTAAAATGCATTTTGACGCAAATAATAGTTGGTTAAAAATATACAATAGTTTAAAATAATAACCATTAATTTGATTGGCAATATTTGGATTTTGTCACATAATTGGTCAATGAATTGTACAGATAAGGTTCGGCTGTTTTATAAACACGAATAATAACAACAAAGTCGTTAAAACACCAATTAGTTGTTTTAGCGAATTTAGGGAATAAGCTATTACCGTAGGTCTCATGGTAAGACTTGGACCCGGGACCGATTTACTTTTTCATTCTGATGTACCTAGAAGCCCAAAACACCACCTGTTCAAATGCATATATAAATACTATGTCCGTTAGCACGATAATTCGAGCAACAATGATCCGATTTCGATGAAATTTGGTACAAACATGTAAACCTACGTTTCGCGAACCACCATGATAGGACCATGGGAACGGGGTTTTATGGGGGGTTTATGGGGGGATTTATAGGGTAAAAATTGGGTTTTCTCGTTAAATCATAAAATTTCCCAAATTTTCTCTAAACGATTTTGAAGAGCTAAAAAAATAATTTAGTATATTGAGGGGTTTTTGTAGGGTTATTGGTTACGGAGAAAATTGTAAATAAAAAATGTCCATGTTATTCTTCTGGAGAATAAGTAAACTGTTGTAGTTTGCTTGTTTATGGATATATTTGGATCAAACCTGGCAAATCTATTTATTTTATACTAAGCTATTAATATATAACTAAAAAACACACTTTACTACCCTCCCTGTAGGCAGCAATCCTAGGTACTCGTTAAACCTAATGTTATTTGAATAGATTTAATTAAAAATCAAATCAGGCAAATGGAAATTCGCTTAGTATGCAGGTTTGCTGCGGCGGGGATACTTATATGCATAACAATCAGCTGTTCACTTATACATACATTTCATATTTTTTGCCACACAATAATTTTTATTCTCCTCCTAGTATCGTATCCATGATATTCCGTTTTTTATTGATGGCAACTTATTTTACCAGTTATTTGATTTTATAGTACAGTAATGGTGTTTTCTATAATAGTACTACGTAATGCTGACTTTAAAATATCATAATATTGGAAAATAGTGTCTACATTATTTTATCCATCCAATATATTGAATACTGGATTAATTATCTGTCATAGGTTTTATTTCAATGTCTCAAATGACGTATAGGTGTGTAGGTTAGAAATATAAAACAACTCGGTGATTTGTTAGGCCCATTAAGATGATGTTAAAATGCTTATCACTTGAGTATGACAGACAGCTGTTACGTTTTGTCGAATATCTTCAAGTAGCTTTTAATGTATTTTAATTGAAAGATTTTGAGGTTGAAACGCTAAAAGATCATATTAGCGAGATAGTGACATCTAAAAGCCTTGTGGGACCACGAATTAATAGACTTCCGTATCTGTTGGCACAAACAACCGAACGAAAATATCAATCGATATATCGTTTGGTTAGTTAGGTAAGGTTAACCTAACCTATCTAACCAAACGATATATCGAATGAAAAAAATCGAACAAGCGATATTTTCATTCGGTTGTTTGTATTATGCACCATGCAAGTTATATTAATTACTCAACATCAACAACGATAAAGTTATTAAAATTATTGAAGCATCTCAGCATGGAAGTACAGTAATGATATGAAACATTCAATTTATATTTTACCAGAGTAGCCTATTACAGTATGGTTTTCTTTCGTCAAAAAAAGAACCGGGAATGACAATTACAAAGTCTTGTGTTAGTCAAAAATACAGGAATAGTTTATCTAACCTAGCTCCATGAATTTGTTACAAAGTACAGTATATTAGAAAAGTCCCGTACTGTTTAATATATTTGTAACCATTATATATTTATACAATGTAGGCCTATAAATTGGTATACCAATCTTACAATACAAATCCATTTTTCAATTAACTTACATTTTTTTTCTCATAAAGGGGAACGGCCAGTGTGGAGTAAGTAAGTCATTCTTAAATGAAAGCAGAGGTTGATACGGTCATCAAATTAAAGGTCTTCATTATTAAAAAAGGACCCCTTTACGACTTCCTCCTTACGAGATAAAAAAACAACAGTTCCTAAAGAAGTGATTTTTAATGAGTATAGGTGTACCAATTTATACTGTTTTATGTAATGGTTAAAAATATAATAAACCGTCCCGAGACTTTTCGAACACACTGTATAATGCTTGTTAACAAAACAACCTTTTCATTTGATAGCATGTTCTGTAAAAAACTGCTTGTTTACCTTATATCGTCCTATCATCGATAAAAGAGCTGGGCCCGGAATCACTCAACTTTTTCGTTTTTGAAGCCAAAAATACGCCCGTTTATCGTTGGGGCTGGGAAGTCACCATAAACATATACACATGAATACACCAACACGAAAAGATTAAACAAATGTCTGGCTAAACGACAATAATGGCGGTGTCGTCAGAAGATGAGTCATGAATAATTGTGATTGTATAATTCAATAGTGATTAAAACTCACTTTTCACGACAATATCTAGACTATGAATTGAACAATTTGAGGTGTAAAATATATAAAATACCTTTGAATTTTTAGTGGTCAGTATTTGTGCGTTTTAACTTAGTTATTAAACACATGTTTCTTTCGGTCCTATAAGTCATTCCATCAGTTTGACTTTGTAAAAACCATAATGTAATCGGCAGTAGTAATTTAAATCAGTGAAATCTGTAGGTAGCCTCACATCACAAATTTATTAAAAATCTGGCGACAACTTTAACATGGAGATGGAATGTCTAGTTGTATTAATAGTCAAAGGTCCTATACTAATGAATTCAGTTAGTGACTTCGTCGTTGAAAGATCCTACATTTGTTGAGTACTCATTCTACGTTAAAACCACGAATATTAGAAAAGAAAGCAGTATAGATCACAAACATAAACATAAATGCTGTCATTGGTCCCTAAATAAACTTTAACATTACCTAAACTAGTTGTTCTACCCGTGCCTTACCACGGGGAGGAACACAGAGAAGATAATATGGCGATTCTTCACCATATTGCCCAATGCAAACTGCTGGACGAAGCTCTTTTTCTTGATGTAAATCAATTTTACCAAAGTCCATGTCACAAGGACAATACTCTACGTTTTTTCCCAGTTGGAACATTTAAGGCTCCGTCCAAACTATGGTTCTTGGTGTCACTTATTATACAAAAAATGTTTTGTCTATAAAGGCAATGGTAGAAACTAAAGGTTAACTCGATGAAAAGTAAACAAAAGTAAAACAAAAAACAGCTGATGTATCTCCAATATATGCTTATTGCAGTTATACTCGTGCTTTGCGTTTGCAATGGGAGAGGACACGGTTTGAGAAAATTTGGTTCTTTTAATTTATGGTATGCTACAGTATAGTTTAACACATCTACCATAGCCATAATAATGTTCTACCACTGAACTTAAAACAATAGAGTAAATAACCAAATTTTTATAAATCAAAAACATAAGCATAAAACTGTAAACAATTCTTCTTCGACAGTTCTGATTGTGTACCACAGATTATTGTAGCGGCTTGGTTCAAATTTGTATAATATTAGTATGATTATTAACGTTATTAGTATTTTATTCGGGCCAGTAACGTCATTGGTTTATGTTTATGATCCATGCTGCTCTCTGTCCTAATATTCGTGGGAATATTATTTCATCCCACATTTTGCGAGAAAATACAAAATCAAAGGAGATTAAGAACCTTTTGACTTAAATAACGCATTTAAGGATCGTATGTACGATAGTTTGTAACTGTAAATGAAATAAAATGACTATGTACCATCCAGAACGGGAAAACTGAGATTCTGCGTGTTTCAAATTACACTGTACTTGTCTTTTGATAGCCGGGAAAAACGTACGTTAAGTCAACAGTCAATACTTTGTAGGAGTAGGAGGTAGCTTATCCTGACACTGTTTTGACATTTACTAAAATATGTTTAAGTACTAATTTGTAGAATTTGTAGAAAGATAAAGTACTGTTCCTGAAAGCACTTATGTCAAAGTAAAGAATCAAAAGGGTTACAAGTGGTTGAGCTTGATTAACAAAGAAATGATATGAAATTGCAATTAATTTTTCTATTCAAACAACTAGGTATCAGATGTTCAGCGTATCGAAAATCAGATCTGCAAAACATTTTGTTTGGCCGTGAGCACCGAACGTATTTTTATGTTTTTTATATGTCTAGTTTTACCTAAGAATGGCCAATCAATTGTATATGCAAACTAAGTACAAATTTGCTATTTCTTTTGCATTTTTGTGATTTCATTAGTGGACTAGTTTTTCACCTTAAATCTGCTGGAGAGTTTATCAGAGTGAGACAGAAGATCTTGCATTTCCGTGTCCGTTTCCTCTTGTCCCTCCATCGTCAACGACGTCTCCTTGTCTCTGGATCCTACACTCATCGTGGCCGACGTCTCCCGTTAACAATGTCAAACTTACCCGCCACCGCCAGCAGACAGCTTTACAACCAGTGCTACCAACCTCCACACGTGATAATACCCTGAGGTACATCTTGGTGATAAAATTTCCCCGATGTTCAAATATGGATATTATATATACATGAATAACATGTGGTTAACGCGTACATTAAGTGTTTAAGTATAAAACAAGTTTTAGTGTATTTATGAGGTATTTTATGGCATTCAAATATTGAGTAGACACAATTTACTCCTTCGGTTGGTAATAATTTAACATATTTTAATGCAACCTATGTGAGAAATGTCATGCCACAGACTGTAAAGTAAATATTTATCCTATAGTCTAAGGTTATGCTTTTAGCACATAAATGTAGATTGAATCCAAAACTTATATGATTGTTTTAGTTTTTTTATGCCATTACACTCGCTGGTCTTCTTCAAAAGTATCACATATAAAGTTTCACCGTATTGATTTTGTTTTCTTTTTCTAATAAGTTATGACATAATGGAGTATTATAGCAAATCAGACAAAATGATGGTTATGTAATTGTCAAATGATGTGATTCTTAAAACAAAGTTATTGGGGTTAAGGTGAGTGCATAGTGATCAAAAGGTTGTCAGTTCCTTAGAGGAGTCAAAAAAAATATTTTCATTTTTTTTAAAGCAAAACACTTTAATATATATTTTCAAAAAATTTTTTTCGATTGCTCAAAACTGGACCCAGCTGTCCTTGATTCACTAGGCTTTCAATAAATTATCCTGCATTAAGAACCAACCAATAAGTCAGTGAAACAAACTTAAAACACACTCAGAAGAACCTTAATAAAAATACTCTCATGGGGATTAATAAATAAGACTTGTTATCAAGGTTGACTTCTTATCGAGGTTTCCAATAGTATGTGATAAGGGGTAAAATAAATTCCAGGGGTTTTAAAAATGACTCTTTTGTTATCAAGGATGACTTGTTATCTCTGTATTTTACAACTGCATACATATTACATGATATAGACTTCTCATCCCATTGTAAATTTTGAAGCACGTTTTTCGTGTCTAGTTCATGTACGTGACACATGGGCGCTAGTGTCGACGAAATTTTTGTTTCTATTATTTTAGGGTTAATTTCTTGATTTGTGCTTTACTGTTTGGTTATATAACTAGGGGACAAGTTATTGTTTATGATTAGATCGTATTATTTGGTTAAACGAGGTTTTAAATGGCTGTAATAACGGGAAACAAATTGTAAACAAAACACGACATCTGCAGAAAACCGTACAGAACTAACAATAAAATTGTCTTCAGCTGTTCCATAAGGATGAGAAATCTACTGTACTTCAAACTTCAAATAATCTGACAATGGGTTTTCATCATACCATTGCCCTAAACTACTGTTTCAAATACTCTCAGCTGTGAGAGAAACTAACCATTTGTCAGATGGGTGTAACTGTTACTAGGTGTAAACTTTAATGGCAAAACTTGAGTGATGTTAAGGAGTCTTACAAACATTCAAATATAAATGGGTATGATTCAAATCTGAATCTATATTAACAAGAGCAAATGAACTGTCACAGCTAACTGACACTTCACGCCAACTATTATATATATATATGAAGATGAATATAAGAAATTTAACTTTGTTTATTCAATAGCAGAATCTGATCTTATGTTTGTAAACAGAAAATGTAAATATTGATAACATTAGTATAACCTCAAATTTTGTAACTTAAAAAAAAATCTTAAAATATGAAATAAAAAGGTGGTAGCCTACTGTATGATGAAAAGTACCGTTCATGACTGATCCGATATGGCTGTTACCGGTACATAGAATTCAATTACAAGGTGAAACCCAGTAACCGGTAACAGCCACAGTCTAGTAACGAAATATACTATTTTGAGCTGAAGTGTGAAGCATGTAAACAAACGAAGTAATTTAGCCACTGACATGTTGAGATAATTGTAGAGGTGATAACCTTCAACAACTACATGGATACTGATAACATTGATTAGGAGACCTCACTTTAGTGAGGAGCTCACATCATGAACCTGTCATCATCGTAAGTGCAGACATGCTATCATTATTTATTTGACAACCTAAATAGTACAGAAGTTAGTGGAAAAGGAATCAATTTTTAGAATAATAATGTAGGTATTGTATGTTGTATTGCTAGTAGAAATGATTTCTAATGATGATCGACATTTAAAGGTTACACATTTCTAAGGCTTAGTTAAATTAGTACTGTACAGGTTTTGGGTCAGGCCTACCTCACATGTATAATGAATTTTTGGTTTTTATTTTGAATTCATCAACAACTATCAGCTAATATCGCTAAAATGATACAAAAAGAATGAGTATGACAATAAATAGTTAATTATTTGTCTTTGTATATTTAAGTTTAAGTATTTTTTAGTTTGACGAATTAAAGAGCTACAATACTATTAATTGCGTCCTATATTGTGCAGTACTGACTGTCACCTATCAGATTTGATCTAGTATGGTAGCTTTATACAATTTATGCGCTGCTCAAAGTTGTATTTTTTTTACTTTCTCCCAATATATGTAGTAAGTAGTCCTATTTAAGAAATTATTTAGAAAAAATTTTAGTTTGACTTTCGGAGGAAAATATTCATTTTGGGCTCCCATGAACCTAAAAAAAGTTATTCTTTAAGTATTTTTTTTTTATTTTATTTTATTTTTTTTATTGTAAGGGTTGATGAGTTGACTAGCTATAGGAGAAAGTATTTGGCAGTTTGCTGATACCGATTATGTTTCTATTGTTGAAAGAAAATGTTTCTAAATAGTGGATTTGTTTGACAAAAATTAATCAAATTTACTAGTCAAGACTACTCTACAATATATTTCACAATCACTTTTTATTCCTGATATTTAATTTAAAAGCTTTTTAGTTGAGTCATGCTGTTGCAATGGTCCTCATATCATTGTCTGTCTGTGTTTTGTTATGTGATCAGATGATTACGTTCGCATTATCGTAATTTAACCTCTGGCTCTTACATAATACGTCATAAAGAACAAAGAACGAGAATCAAAGAGATTATGTTTTATAATGCCTTAATATGCCTCAGTAGTGTAGTAATTTTATAAAAAAATATCATTGTATGGAATGATACTTTTTCCAGGTCTCAGATTAATCATAATGTTATTGCTCATATGAGTCATAAAATGAATAATTACTCTTTTCATCACTCTGTATTCGAAAATAGAACATTTCCATACAGCTGAGATCTTTGAAAATCATCAATTTCCATACACCAAAAACAAATATTGATCAGCTGACTTTTCCTGACATAAATATTACTTTCGCTACACAAACAATACTTTGCCTGACATCAACAAAAATTTTTGTTAAACATGTTAACAAACCATTTTGATTTATTTCTTTGTTTTGGTAGTTTGTTGATGTTCAATCAGCTGAATTGTACACTAAAATTAATTGTACAACTGTATTGTGTTTAGATTAGAAAAACGTATGGATTACGAAATATCAGATAACTTTTTTAAGTTCAATGAAGTAGTTTTTTTCATCGTGATCAAAAGTATTATTTAATACTCATCACGAAAGTTCCATTTTGGGGCTCGATAGTGTTTTCCATGCTCGTCGAAGAAAAAAGTGAAATATACTTATTACAGTATTACCGGGCTTATCTATAATCCACAAACCAGACGAAGCAGCTTTAATTTGAATTGGAGAGGTCTTTTTTTGCGTTGAAACCAAAGAAACCTTTTCTTCGGATTCTTTTAATTTTTGAAATAACAATTTTATTGATCCGGTTACTGGCATTATGTTTAACGTAGTATGTAATTTTTTCCAGGTGTTGCAATGCTGATGTACAAATTTCACACTCGCCATTGCAGATTGCACCCGAGCTGCAAGCACTTATCTGTTCCTCATGCCAACTAAGTGAGGTTTGTTACACTAGTTTACTTTGCAAAATTTAATTTTTCCAAACAATTAAAAACCCTTAGTCGCAGCACGCCTGCAAACCCAGCGCATTTCTATGTTTCTGTAATTACAAAGTTTTATTCTTTCAAATAGATTTTCGTTCAAGCTGCAATATCTACTACTACAGTATTGGTAAAAATAATTACCACATTTCTCAAGCAAAAATAACAACTTTAATGTTAGTTTGATTAAACGAGTAAGGTTTTAAATTTTATTCAACTCTTTTACTCTGTGCTGGGATACTGTCAGGTTTGATTAACATGAACTAACCTTGAGCCATGATGTTGGCCAACCTGATTTAATTAAAGATTTAATAAGCATAGGAAAATGTTTTGTAATAAAGCGCAATACTGGCAGTCTATCTTGCAATGCTACTGAGAGCAGGTATGTGGTTTTTGGTTCCTGAATATTATAGAGGTATCCATTATGATTCAAGTATACAGATTTGTCTTTGTTTAACAGCCATGATGCACAAAATAACATAATATTTAAATATCAAGTAAATTGAATTATGATAGAATTTATTAGAAAAGGGTTTTCAAAGAAGTGAAAAATATAAACGTTTCTATGTTTAAAACATTACTACATTTAAAATGGTTTTAAGTGAAATTTAAGGAAATGAAAATTGAGAAATGTCAATAGCTGTTTTAGAATTATTAGATTGAGATAATGTAATATCCCTAAACAATTTTGAATGTACTGCTTCATTAGTTTTTAGTTTTTACCTAAAAGTCTTTATTTTTAAAAACAAATATTGTGCCAAAACTAAAAAAAAGTGTTTGTAAGGTGTTTACATAAATAAATATTTAAACATAACAGTCCAAAGTGTTTTTAAAATCTTGGTTTTTTTACATTACTCTAAATATAAAAATTTGAATAAAAAAAGCTAATAGCTGAAACTCTTGGTTGTTTTCAGCTTTAGGAATTCTAAATGAAGACACAGTTCAAGAAACTGAAGAGTTTTTAACAGATGTCAACATTCCATTGGGAGATCACTGGATAAAGGTAAGGGAAATCTGCATGGACAATTAGATCAAAAGCTCACCTCATTATTATTGTGTTAAGAAAAATATTGAACAAGGAAAATTGTATTTGTCAATTTACATATTGTCAACCAAACAATAATTAAATCTGAGAACAAATACTCCTAAAAATTTCAACAGGGTTTTTTACAAATTATGTTCCTGACTTTGATTACAATTAAGTATTACTGGGTTAATTTGATTTAAGACTATTTTAGTTGGTTGGAAAGAAAATCTCATTAAGTTTCATTTACATTGGTTTGGGTGCATATCAGCTGTTTGTCAAGTCAATTGTTGTAAGTGTTTGTATAATGTCTGAATTTGATAACAAGAAAATTTGTTGTGTGTTGGATTTTCACATTAATCCTTTGCAACGACGCTTTAGAACCAGGTTTAATAAAGATCAAAGATTCTCCTAGTAATGTGAACAGACGTAATTTCAGAATATGAATATGGGGCTCAAAGAAACCTTTTTTCTTCAATTGAAAAAACGACAAATGGAATATGTCTTGGACATGGTGACAAAATAGTATCTTCCGCAGTTAGAACAAGATTCTGCAAATTTCATTCTGCAATCGAATGGCGCACCTCCACATTACCACTTGGATATTTGGGTTAAACTTAACATGATAATGATAATGATGACACACTCCTGAATTGGCATCTAAGATCTCTGGACATCCCCCTGTAATTTTTTCTTGTGATACATCGAAGATAAGGTGAACACACCACCATTACTAGATAGCATTCCGGGTGGAGCGAGCTGGTCTAGTGGTTAGAGCGCGGGACTTCGGTTCCAGAGGTCCCTGGTTCGAAATCCCGCCAAATCACCAATGGATTTTATCCATGTGATAATGCCGCAACCCCTAGGTCTAGCCTGAAGCAATGTGAAAAACAATTACGTCGTGCCTAGCGTCCTAGGACAACAAAAAATAGCATACCTGGGAGATTCACAACAGATTGCCAATGCTATAAAAACAACGGATCAAGACACTCTTATCGAAGTAAAGCAAGAGCTTGACTAGTATTGACACCTGTTGTATCGCAAGTGGTTCCTATATCGCACATTTATTAGTTAGTTCTGTGTACCTGTGACAAAACTTTTTGAGTTTTCATGATTTGTAACCATTTTGTTTATTAAGTATAACAAATAAAACTAGATTTTTGTAGCTTGATATCAACATAATTTGTAATAACCCTGAATCTTTTATAATTAAAGTGTATGTTTCTCTTTCGATTTTAAACTTAATTGTATATGTGTTATTACAGATAGCTGGCACTAACCACTCAGCTGTCCACTATGTCTTGTCTCAGCTGATTTATCGGCCTGACACCACCAGAGGAGAAGTCCCTTACGCCCTACCAGACCCTGGAGACATCGTGAAGCTGCTGTGGTGCGACCGCAAAGCTGTTGGCTTCTACACTGTTAAATCTAACGGTAATCAACATAATCTTCCAGTGGGGTTTCCAAAGATTATATTTTTGAATAAAAATCACACGTACACTGAAGAAATTTTTAGTATTCATATTGAATGTGAAAACACGCTGTTGTGAAACTGTTGATTGGAAAAGTTTGTTGTAGTACATTACTATTTATCTGGGCATATTTCAACCTAATAATGAGTGAAGGCTAAATGCATAATGGACCGAAATCCCTAAAGTAAAAATGTAGTCACTCTTTTAACACATACAATGATATTATCTTCATGCACCACCATACCTATTGCAGCTACAAGAACTTTTGGTAGCAAAAGACAAACATTTAAACGCTGTTATTGGTATTTTGTGTATTTATTTTCATCACAGGTACCTAATCAAAAAAGTCAAATTTTCATTACAAATGAGAGGACTGACTTCTTTCTAAATAAAATGAAAACACCAGACAACTTTTTGTATTCAGAGAATATATTTAAACTAAATGTAGGTTCACTGTCTCTCAAATTTACGGAAATAAAAGGAATAACAAACTTGTAAACATAAACATTGTTCGCTCCATTATAAATTAGTGCAACAGCTGTTTCAAAATAGGGAACTGCGGCATTGCCACTTTTTTTCAGCCAAGGCCTTGTATTAGAGGTGGCTAGGCTATGATTCTAGAGTATCTCAATCAGTTATCAATAATTAAAATGGAGAAGCCTAGAAGCGTATTTTAACCCAAATAAGAGTGAAGGATGAGTGTAGAATGGTGTGAGATGATATGTGTAGCTTTGTTACTAGCTATCATCAGCTGATTAGCCAGGATCATTTATTTAATGCCCAATCATAGGGGACAGCTGGGTACAGTTTCGAACCATCAAAAAGGATCAATCCGGCAATCTTTTCATTCTTAGGCAAGCACTATTAGCACTCAGCTTCACAGCCAGTCATTATATATAGTATTGTGTATAATAATTTATTACTGCAGGGCCGAGAAACGAGACGAGCTCTATCTTTGAGGAAGGAATGCCAACATTAGACACCGCATTCATATCACCTTCACATAGACGAAGAGGGTTTGGCTTGTCCATGCTAGAAGACTTTGTCAGCAACTATCCAAACATGGACCTGGGGTTCAGTCAACCCATCTCTAAATCTATGTGGAAAGGTAAATCGTAAATCATGTGTACAAAGTCCTTAACTTTGGATACTGCAAGTAAACTTCTCATACTTAAATTTGACGTGCATATTTTAATGTGTTTTTGATGTCCAGTACACTTAGAAGGTGTTGTTGACATTAAAACTTTTCATCCTGATTTTTGAGGACTTGTTTTACACGTGCCTTAATCTTTGGTAATAATACCAGAAGACAAGCAAAGGCTTACAAGTAGTTGTACTTTGGGTTAGAATATTTTAACCCATTAACACCAACTCACGTGTGTAGCTTATCACTGCATTTTTGACGCAAGGTAGTGGTACTGCTGCCTCACTGGCTTCCAAATAGTACGTTGAATCTAACCTAGGAGCACTAGTTTCGTCATGTGCTTGTACTGGCATCTCGTTCGGCCGATGGTGGCGTGGTAGCTCAGTTGACTAAGGTGTTACATTGACGAGTGTAGTGTTGAGGTTTTTCTACATGTGCGCCATACGGGTTCAAATCCCGTAAGTGTACAATCCATATTGAGCTTACTAAAGTTTCTGATTCATATAGGAAAACTGGGCATTATTCTTTTGTATAACTTGGGTTTTGTTTTGTTGGAAAAGGATTTAGATTAAAGCAATTTATTACATGTGTAAAAATATTGATTGCTGAAACTATTCAACTTTGTATCCATCAGTATTTTGATTTGATATTTTACCCCTATATATTTAAAAGTGTTGGTCTTGTCAGATGCATCTTCCTCAATTGTTGTGAGTTCAACTCCATTATCATGGTATCTTGCAACGCGAAAAAAATAGTAAACACATTTTAGTAGAAGAATTAAGACCCTCTGATTTTTTCCGATTACAACAAAATCATCTGCTAAGGCTAATATATAAACTCGGGTCCATTTGTCAACACCTACTTCAGGTTCTGCTACCTTCTGTAGAGCTTCTTTGATGGTGACATAAATATAATAGGCAATATTACGTCTCCTTGCATGACTCCTGAGCTTATTTCAAAGGGCTCGCAGTTGTTGTGTCCATCAATTCTCACAGAACACTTGGAATCGTTGATACAAATTTGTATTAGGGATTTAAGAAAAAAATACACATAGTATAAAATAGAAGGTTTGTTTGTTATGGAAATAATTTTTGAAACGTTTTCTTGCGTCTTAGTATTTTGTAAACAATCTTTAAACAGGTTACACAATTTTTATGTGCCATCGTTAAAATACCACTAACAGTGGGGTTTGTTGAGCAACCAGCTCTCTTTGTCAATTATTTATTAAGTAACGGTACTCAAATGTAAAAATTATTAGCTATATAATGTGAAACAGTGTTTTATGTTTTGATTGCAGTCCTGAAGAAATTTCTAGATGTCAATGAGTCCCTAAGGAGGAAGTTTTGGCTAATAAAAGGAAACTGTGACGAAGGAAACAAAACACTGATTTGGTTCTGTCTTAAAAGGAATCATTGGAAAGACGAGTAATTATAAGCTTATAATCATAGCTGCAGGATTAGTTTATTTAAAGTAGAATCAAACAGAGTTTAGTTTGTCAGACAATTCCAACAATTAATTGTAATAGGTGATTACAATAAAAAATAAAAAATCAAATTAGTTATTTACACAGTTATTACAAGTTACCTTATAACGAACTTGATGATTCATACAATGCACAAAAATAAACTTTTATCATGAAAGAAGTCTATACTGTAGTGTTTAATGATTTGACGATCATTGACTATAATACTTTATTATTAAGGGTAATGGACAAGAATAAAAGAGTAAATGGTAATTTCAATTGGTAAAGTAATGAACACTTGTCAGAAAAACAGCTCATTGTGATAGAATATTTAAACACTGCTATTTAGAGCCCATAAAGACGAATCTGGGAGGATTTGATTTGAATTGGATTTACTTGCTCCTACATCGAACTTAGTTGACCATTCTGCAATTTTTTATTTTGTCTGATATTAAAAATAATTTTGAATTGTACTTTACTACTAGAATAGGATAAATAAAACCGTTAAGCCTGGTTTACACGGGTAGAGTTGTTGGTAGTGTAGAGTTTATAGTAGAGCTACTTTCTTGTCCACTCTACCGATTTTAAGCAAGCGACTGTTCACACATAGTAGAGTGTTGATGATAGTTTGTGAACTGTTTGTTCCACCTCCATTCCCAAAATGAGTGTTATAAACCAGTTACAAGACAGTGTCACTCTACCAGAAACTTTACTCTACTGCCGCGGATCTCATTTACACAAGTATAGTGTGCAGGAGAGTGACAATTTTGCTAGTGGTGGGGGAAGTAGAGTAGAGCTACTATGCCACATGTTGCTAGTAACTCTACTCTACCACCTACTATCTACTATACTAGCTACTAGGCGCCAGTGGGTGTTTACACGGGTAGAGTTACTATACTAGAAACTCTACTCTACCCACAACTCTACCCGTGTAAACCAGGCTTAAAAGGTGGTTTTACACAGGTAGAGTTGTGGGTAGAGTAGAGTTTCTAGTAGAGTAACTCTACCCGTGTAAACACCCACTAGCGCCTAGTAGCTAGTATAGTAGATAGTAGGTGGTAGAGTAGAGTTACTAGCAACATGTGGCATAGTAGTTCTACTCTACTTCCCCCACCACTAGCAAAATTGTCACTCTCCTGCACACTATACTTGTGTAAATGTGATCCGCGGCAGTAAAGTAGAGTTTCTAGTAGAGCAACTCTGTCTTGTAACTGGTTTTGATCACTCATTTTGGGAATGAAGGAGGAACACACAGTTCACAAACTCTATCATCAATACTCTACTATGTGTGAACAGTCGCTTGCTTAAAATCGGTAGAGTGGACAAGAAAGTAGCTCCTTTATAAACTCTACACTACCAACAACTCTACCCGTGTAAACCAGGCTCTAGGCACTCTTACACGAGTAGAGTTACTCTACTAGAAACTCTACTCTACCCACAACTCTACCCATGTAAACCAGGCTTAAGAATTGGGATAAAAATAATGTTTACTGAAAACCAAATCATTGTGTAAATTTAATTTAAATACACAATTTTAAAAGCTGTTGTAAATTTAAAGCATACACACCAAACATTAACACGAGTGCTGATGACGGGAATTCCCGCCATTGCTTAAAAATGGAATAAATTTAACTTTTATGTTTAAATATGTAAACCAAACTAATAATGGTTTCAATCTTCTACTACACATTTTACTCTACAATAGCTTTGGTAAATCACAGTTTAATTAAGATCCTTCAATACCATTAAGATGTTGACGTATGAAAAAGCTGTCCGTAGAGCCTGAAAAAAACAATTAACACTTAGAACCTTTAGAGTGTCGACTTGCTTTTGATATTTTATACAAATCATTACCAACAAGTAATTCTCATAGAAAGTGAATAATGGATTCAAATCAAATCAAGATTAGTTGACCATATGTCTTTATGACATGTGGTTATACGAGGTCTGTTCAAAGGAGTAACCGACCTTGATCAGGAAAAGCATAATTTATTGATAAATTTCAAATTTGTTTTAACATCTCTTTGAAAATAGTCTCCTTTGGGACTTCTCACACTTATTCGAGCGATCATGCCACTTTTGTACTCTAACTTCTTAATGGACACCAGACGAGCTGACGCATATTACATTATCTTATTTCTGCTCTTAAATCAAAAAGTATTATGTTATGAATCTGTCTAATTAAATTACAAAATTATACAAATGGAGTTTTACTTGGTTTGCAAGTGTGCTGCAATAGAGGTGATTATTTTAGATGCGTTCATCTCACCAACTTTGAGGCAGATAGGTAAACTCCTAATAGCTTTTACACCAAACAAATAGGAACCAAGATGCTTTGACCATTCATGAGACACAGTTGCCAATCACTCTGACAAAGTTAGAAAACCAAGTGCTCTAAAATTTGTTTTCTTGTTTTGTCAAGTATGTTACATCCTAGTCACATACAGTCTTCCGAGGATTTCATCTAGTTATGCTTGAATTTATTGATTTATAGCTTTTTTATAACTTTCAATGTATGTGAAATGTTACCATTTGTTTTCTTTTCTATTTCAAAAAAGAATACTAAACTAAACATCCCAGTTTACTCAGTGATTCTCCAAAAAATATTTTTGACTATACAAAGAATACAATTTTCAAGGTTAACATTTATCAGAATATTCTTTCTATGCTGTTAGAAAAATGCCTTAAAGCTTAATTGACAAAAATATTTACGTGTTGGAATGACATCATCGATGAGGTAACAATGCCTCTGAAGCTGATGGTGATTGGGCGAATGGTCGCAGTCATCATGATGATCATCGACTTCTGGAACGAAACACTCTGATCTTCCCAGTGACTACAGTACAGGCTGTTCCGGAACTGCTCACTCTGACATAACACAAACAATTACTTTACTCACAAGGGTAAATTACTTTTATCAAACAAAGGGAATAGTGTCACACAGTTTGTAATATTATTTACCAAACATTGTAAGGGGATGTGATAAGCTTCTCAACTAACTTATTATTCGTTGAATTCATTTATAAACAAATTATCTACTGTAGTTTACATGACTACCTTGTTGTAGACGTGCTGACCAGGGTAACAGAAGGTGAAGAGGTGAAAGACAATCACTGCCACCATAAAGATGTTTTGAGCCATCTTCTGGTAGTCTCGTCTCTCTAAAGCCTTGTCAACACACAAAGAAAGTATAAGTCACTTCATTCAGTAGAATTCGTCTAATTTTTGTTCACACACCTCAGAACCAGATTTAGATCCGATACAGTGTTGATAAAAAAATTAATGAATACATTTAAAAAAAAAAAAATTATTTCTATTTCTATATTTTGTTCACAATTAGGCAGTTTGAGTTGAAGATTCCCCACCGCTTTTTTTGTATTTAATTGTATACAAAAATAATTAAATATATATATACCATCAGCCGTGCTGAGATTAGCGTAGGTTCTGGCAACCACCGTTGGGAGTGCCGTGTAGCTACGTAGCGTGTACGCTATAACTGCACAGCGCTCCCAAAGGTGGACGCGAGAACCTATGCTAACCCCAGCACAGCTGTCGGTTTAAATTTCTTTTTGTCTGTGATTTAATGTATGTTGCTTAATCAGCTGTTGAGCTATTATTTTAAAGGTCAAGTGGAGGGGAGAGATTTCTTTCCCTAAAACACATAAATATCGTGATCTAATACATAGAAGCTTTCTGTCATTGTAGTACAAAAACAGCTGTTGTTTTATGTTATGATAATTTGAGAATGTCAGTTTAGAATAAAAATATTGACTGTATAGTATCAAAATTTAGTATCTTTTCTTTTCCGACTTTGTTTGGATCTTGTACTTGACCGATTTTCATTATTGGGGTCTCATTGAAGGTGCACGTACAGATTTCACATCAAGCGTTGGCATATATTTATCTACAGTCCCACTCGGCTTATGCGTAAACAAAATTTGCTCCCCATGTATTTCTTATGGGAGTTAAATTTGGTTTTTCTTTTCTGAGTTTAACGCTGCGGAGCAGCAAGGGCCAGTTGCAATTAAAAATCGTATGAAAGTTTTTTGTTGCGGTACCTACCCTACTATGCTAATAACTACTGTAGCAAATAATACTTTACCAGAACAGCTTGAAACGAAGCAAAACAGATGACAGCCACATAGGAGAGTACCACTTCTATCAGAGTTGTCTCAAAGACAGTTTTGTAGTCCTTGACAAATCTGTAAATTTATAATTCCTACTAAGTTAGAAGAGGAGTTGTACACTAAATATGTAATCTCTATAAAATGTATGATAAGTATATATTGTATACTTATCAAAATGTTTGCACTTCTAGGTTATGGTGATTTTGGATTAAGACCAGCAACTTCAAGACCAGCAAAATCACAAATTCAAAAGAAAAAATAAATTATAAAACACTGAGTTTTAGGTTTTACCAAATGTTATCATTTCACCTTTATAATCAAAAACTAAAATTGTTGTCATTCTGAATGATAAGAGAATGAGTTGGATTGAAACGTGTCTGTTTTTGAGAAAACGAGTAAACAACAAATAAATATAAAACTCTATCTGTGTACATTGGTGAAAATCAATAATCTAAACATTTTCTTTACCTAATCAGTAAGGACGACCGATCTATAAGGAAAGATTTTTACATTTTATTAATCCAGGATCCTTAGTTAATCCATTCAGTACACTGATCCCTTAGATATATATTTAAGAGAGATTTCTAAACCTTTACTTCTTTAGACCATCTAAATGACAGTACAGTAAATAAATGTTCTAACCTTAACACTTCAATATGTGTTTCTATTATCCACTTCAGCTTTCTCTCAGCAGCTGATTGTTTCAAAATAGTTGTGTCTTGATTTGTGTTGCTAACCACTGTATCCGTAGATTCTTTAAAATCACATGTGTCGGAAAAAGCAAGCCCCAACACGTCGAAGGACGCACCTATAAAATGGGCTCCTCCGATACACATACCAAGCCCTGGTAGATGTATCAAGTGGTTGTAAGCAAAGTAAGACAATTGCAAAAATACAGTCAAGTAGTAGGAAATATCTGTGTCCATGGAATACGGTAACCAAATAGGATAAAGGAGCTTCCTCTGAGATGAAAATACTGCAGCGTTATAAACATAAAATACGTAGATCGAACCGACAAAATAATTAGCAAATTTTGTAACTGTGAAAGAAATGCGATCGGCTTTGTCCCACACGTACTTGTACTGCTGAAGGTTGAGTTGGTTTGACAGAGGTGAGAAGCGATCTTGCATGGTTTCAATCAGATTACAAATAGTAGATCTGTTCTTTAAATAGATCAAGTAGAAGTAGAGTGAGTGACTTATTATCACTCCGTACAACAAAGCGTCAGTGTTGACTGACAAGTCATCGTACTTGAGAAAGAACAAAATCCAGCCTGTGACCGAACAGAAAATCAAGACGAAAAAGCCAAATACTACGATAGCGATGTCCTTCCACAAAGAGTTGGGTTTTATAGCTGCCATACTGAAGTACAACTCGATGTATTTCAGAAATTCATCTTTGCCACCTTCTGAACCTTTTGCTGGTGCAACTGCTTTCATCATGTAGCTTTGTCTGAAAAATTGATTATTTTGTGTGTTAGGTAGCACAATAAATTTAATTTCATAAATAAATACTTATGTAGAGAAAATGAGTCTTTGGGGAAGAAAAATAAGCAGGAAGTTTTAGTTTTCTTGAAGTGTACAGTAAGGGCAATGCCCTAAACCATTACCCCAGTAAGAAAATTATAAAATTGAAAAAAAATTTGTCTGCATATCCATACAATTGTAACGGATACTATAAATGCAGACGTGTGTTTGTTTACGACATTTTCACATGCAGCCTATCGGGTTACTTTATACCAAGGTGACCAATATACAAGAAAACAAATGGTATAGTTTGATTTAGGACTTTGCCCCAGGTCAGAGGTGACCTCAAAGAAACAAATCTTATGTGTATTTTAGTTTAAATTTAGTTTGGTTTCATTGTTGTTTTTCTTTGTTAATTTTTTTAAATTTTAGATTTTCAAAGGATTGACTCTGTTTTGGAAATTAATTGAAGGGAAATAAAAAACACCATAAACGAAGAATCTATTGAGGACAAATTAAATAAATGAATAATTCTATAGCTTTAAAACTAGTATAACAAAACAAAATTTGTCCTTGTGCTACCAAAATTCATACTACCTTATATTGGTACAAAGTAGAGAATTAATTAATAAGTACCAGTTAGAGCTTGCACTTCACAAAGGTAAAACTTTAATTATACAGTTAACATGATCTTTATGTCCCTAACGTTTAACCTGTTAAAAGTACTTAATTGATATAAGTTTGCAGTTTTAGGAAGTATTTGAAAAATGTAATTAAAATACTGAAGCCAAAATTTAAGGCAAGAAGTAAGTTATAGCATGTTTTTCAATAGTTATGATGGATTGGCATAGTATTTACACAAATAATCAGAACTTAAGTTAAACACATTTTGCTTTATAACATAAATTGCCTGCAACTAATAAGAACATTTGAAATTTTGTCAGCTAATTTTTGAGCGAAGCTCTTATACGTCGACTCTTATGCATTTTGTAATACGCAAACTCCTCCTAGACGGCTGAATCAATCGTTTTCAAATTTTGCATGGTGATAAAGACCATATCGGTGAGTGCCAACATGTATATGGCGTTAAAAAAGTCTCTCAGGAATCCGCCCCACTGGGTCTCAAAGTTTCAATGTAATCCTTATGGAAGCAGTATTTGATACAAACAAAGACATATGATCTGCTGCAGTATGACTTTTGAATGCAGTAGATAACGAAAAAGTTGATAGCATTATTCCACAGATATTAGAACAGAAACGGTATGGATCATAAATATAATCAAATGACGACACTAACTTGAGGTACGTGATGTAGGAAGTGGTGAAGGAAGTAGTTAAGGTGAGCAGTGTTGAGTGTGGGAATGGATTAATGTATCTGCAATGCTAAAATGCTATGGGAAGAGACTGTAGACTGTAGGTTAAAATGATTACGAGGCACGAATTGATACATATTTTCGATATATGCAATCGTTTACAATAGAAATTTACAACTGAGTTGACAACAGCTGATTTTTACTCCATAGAGGCTAAAAATGATTTTTACTCCCTAAAGAATAAAAATGCTACTTTAGACCTGCAAAACATGCATTAAAAACTACTGTTTTTACTGCAGTATGACAAAAACAATATAATATGAACCCTTGATGACTCCGCTCAATTTTGTGGATGCCTCTGCGAACGCCACCTAGTAATGATAAAACTATTATTTGTATAGGTACTGAATGTCAATTTTTGATATACAAAAATCAACACCATTATAAGTGTATGGATGATAAACATCTAAATTCTACTAACAGAATTTAACCTGAACAAACTAAGATTTTATACTAAAATACCTAACTCTAGACAGTATATGTTAACAAATCGTATTTTAAAATGCCAAAAAGTATACCTGTTGTAAACGTTTAAAGTAAAACTGGTAAAACACAATCCCAGACCAAAAAATTGTCATTTATTAACCTTACTTGCTGGCAATATAACCAAAGTTGTAAAAAATGTTATTACCCAATTCTAAGTGATTGACCAATATTATGGTTATTGTGTTCGATAATGGGTTATAGACATGGTATGCAATTAGATTATTGGTTAAGTGCATAGCGAAGTGTCTCCCTTTAATGAAGTCTTTATTAACAATTCTTTCAAGCTTTCCCAATCATCCGATACCACCTCCCTCCTCTAGATCTCTTTATAGAAGAACAGCTCAGTTGAGATTTGGATTTTGAAAATTTTCAAAATCCACACCAGGGGGCTACTATATTCTCCTTTAGGTGATACTCCTGTGAGTATTCTAGGGTCTTACGGATCTTTAATTGGGCTTTTGTTATTTTTAATTTCTCCTTAAATCTCTCTATGAAAATTTAGCAACTGTTTAGACTAACTTTATTAGCCCCAGTGAGGGTAACTGCCCCCCACCACCGCTAAAACTGCCCCCATTACCGCTGAAAATGGAAAGAGGGAAGTGACCCACCCTACCAAAGGCTAATACCATTGATTATTGGAATAGTCAAAGCTAATACCAAATATCACACTGGTTTAATGTCTTCAGTACTGTCTGTAATGCTCATATGTCTGATA